CTTGTGGAATGTACAGTGCATATTGGCGGCGCTCGCCTCATTACGATTCACCAGCTTGCTTCTCCTGTTCAATTGTTCCTTTTGAAGGCAGAGGATTTTTCTCTTGCGTTTCTGTCTTCTTCAATTTCGACTTATCGAATTTCTCGATCTCAGCCATATCGGGTTTGTCAGACATGGTTGCCGGAAAGAGCGAGCGAGGCGCACGAACAAGGAGAGTAGGATCTGCTCAGAGGACGCCACCGATTGTCTATATCTTGTATCTTAAGTATAAATTCCATACCGAGCTCTTGGAATTCTGTATGCTACCACTTATTTCCTTACTATCCTATCTTTATAAAATTAAAGATACAACAAAAGACAACATAAAATGGATAAAGATGACATCACTTATAAGAGACCCTAAGTCTCTAATTTGCATATCCACTGTAACAGTCGAATCTAGATCTTCCCCAAGTATATGCCAAATATTACCTAAAAAGATACCAAGAAAGACAGACTACGCATACAGCTCTTCCAGGGGACGCAAATTCAGTTCTTAGCGCCAACATAAGGTGGGTTACAGCCACCTGAAACTCCAGCTTTAGAAAGAGCTGGTGCCTCTAGCTTCCATGGGAAGCTTTAGAAAGATCTGGTGCCTCTAGCTTCCATGGGCAGCTACATTCACAAGCACATACCCACATTCACGAGTGCTCACACACCCACTCACTCACAAACACACACACACACACACACACACACACACAATCCCTTGATCACATGCACACAAGCACACACACATGCACACACAATTTTAAAATAATTTTAAAAGTCTTCTTTAAAAGATAAAATGCATTTTGCTCTAATTTTGCCCCAGCTGTTTCATACTAATGTAAATTATATCTTTATATATTTGAGATATAATTTCATGAGTTTTTTAAACTAATATTTAGATGTTCTGGGGTTCTGGACATGATAGTATCTATTACATATTCTTCTATCCAAATCCTGTTTGTTTCAGGGCCCTTCCTGTCATAACTATTATTTATAATTAAAAACTGAACAACAAGATATATTAAATGCTTAATGGAATAAAAATGGCATTCCAGAGCTTTATACAACATCCATTTTAGCCACAATAAGATAAAGTAACAATACTGATGTGGCACTGGACATCAATTTGGAATGAGACGTCACCCCAGTGTCTAGAGAATGAACGAGAAAACTCCATCCTAAGACTTAGATTAACTTCAAGACAGTACTTGGGAATATTCAGAAAACAAAAAATATAACCAGTTTACTATATAAGGGGATATATTAAAACAAAATTGGTGGCTAGTAAGTATGCTAAAGACAACATTAGATTGCAAGGAGAAAAGTCTAAAAATCTGTATTTAGCTTTTAAACATCTATGCAATTATATTTTTCTGTGTTAAGTTGCTCTACCAATTTCTGTGAACACCTAAATGGAAAACTTGGGGCAGTACAGGTGTACTAGCAGGAAAATATGCTAATTAAATGTAAAAGATACACAGGATCCCATGAGCTGTTCAAAAGTACTTTAGCAAAGCTAATTAAAGGTACTATTGGGTCAGTGTTTCAAGGGTGAAGGGCAAAGTCTATATTCAACATTGAGACAATGAAGGACATTGGATAAAAAATAATGCTGTCTCATTTACACCTTTAAAAAAACAGGTTTCCTTTCATAAACCACTTACTTATAAGTGTGACATATATTATTCAACCCTCACCAAATGGGATGAATATGTACAAGGTGGATGGAGAAACTTCTAGATGATTAATACCCTTGTCTAGAACAAAGAGTAGAGTCTCTGCTAGCTGGTTAATACCCTTATCTAGAACAAAGAACAAAAAGTGAAGATTCTCTCTCCCTTTATCCCTTTCTCCCTTTCTCTCCCTTCCCCCATCTCCCCCCTCTTTCTCTCTCTCTCTCTCACACACACCACATATCTAAAAGTAGAAAAGCATTGCTGAGTAAACGGAAATTAGAGCAACAATCGAAGATCCTGAGAGAGTAACTGGCTATAAAATAGCCACACTTCCTCTGGGGTTGTAAGCCTATTCAGAAAGACATGGGCTTGAGAATCAGGACCAGCCCAGCACAAAATCTCATGCAGGGCTACCAAAGACACACAGAGAAATAAGTAGGGGCTTTACAAGTATTAAATGATTGGCCAGTTTTAGCTTCAAGAACTGGGACTCTGTGATAGAAGGCTAAAAACATAAACACAAGTAAAAGCACTGAGAAAGGATTTTGGCAGTCTAACAGGAAAAAAGATTAAAGTTTTAGACCCAAATGTAAAGGACCCACAGAATACACCAAATCCTTTGTTGAAAAGCTAGGAGGCCCAGGAAAGAACCAAGGGGAGGTTGATCTTGAGGAAACTCAGCCTTGACTCAACACATTGCATAATGGCATTAAAGTGGGTGACTAGTCCCAAGACTGACTCAGGGGAAAAGGTGACAATGATGTTCTTATTTAGAGGCTATATTTTAATTTGCCCAGAATGCAAAGCTTTCGATATAGGCATGCTGCTGCTGTCTGACTGGTATCACGAAAACAAAGGCAAGAGGAAAAAGGATTACAAAGTACTCTGTGAGTAATTCAGATAACAGTTTTAATGGAGAGGGACCGTTACAATTAAGAAGGACACAGTGCCTAACTTCACACATACATGGGAAAATGATTATAAAAATCCAGGAAAATAGACTCAGAACTGGCTTCCGTAAACAATAATCACCCAAAAGGGCTGGGAACAAGGCTCAACGGTTAAAGCATTCACTGATCTCTCAGAGACCTGAGTGTGGTTCCCCAAACCCAGACCCAGGGGCTCACAGTGCCCTGTAACTCCAGCTCCAGGGGACCTGATGTCTGCTGCTGACCTCCCCACCTGTACACACATATGGCAGACATATACATACACACAAATTAAAAATATATCTTTAAAGGCAAACCACCCGGAAATTTTATAACTGAAAAATAGAGTATGCACAAATAAAATATGCACAAGAACTCATTAGGTGGATTTATGAGAGATAAGAAATGGCACAAAACAGGATGAAGGAATTCAAAGGTCCACAGGAAATCTCTAAACTAAACAGGAAGGGGGAGAGGAATTTTAGAAAGTATTATTGACATAATTCCATGTGAGGCCTACTGTGGAACCAAGGAACAAGTGGCAGAACTGGTATTTGAAAGCCATCCAGTTGATTTCCCAAACTGCTGCTGGTTTTAAACAGGCTCTAGACCCTGTCTTATTGAGAATTACTATTGCTGTGATGAAACACCATGACCAAAGCAACTTGAGGAGGAAAAAGTTTATTTGGGTTACATTTCCACATCACTGTTCATCAGTGAAGAAGTCAGGACTGGAACTCAAACAGGGTGGAACCCAGAAGCAGGAGCTGATGGAGAGGACATGGAGGAGTGCTGCTTATTGCCTTGCTCTCCATGGTGTGCTCAGTCTGCTTTTTCATAGAACCCAGGACCACCAGCACAGGTGTAACACCATTCATAATGGGCTGGGCCATCCTCTATCAATCACTAATTAATAAGAAAATGCTCCACAGGCTTGCCTACAGCACGATCTCCTGGAGGCATTTTCTCAACCGAGGCTCCCTCCTCTCAGATGACTATAGCTTGTGTCAAACTGACATTAGATCCAAACAGAAAAATGATCATCAATAATAATATAAAAACAACAATACCTTAACAACGTACACCTTAACAAGTCTGCTGAAATCCCTCCAAACAGAAAGAAAATGTTAAAAGCCACCAGATATAGGCAGGCAAAATATAGTCAGAAATGAGAGAATGTCAACAGAAGCCCAGGGAAAAGACAACAGGTAACACCCCAAACACACTGCAAGAAAACCACTTGCATCTTAGAAGGTCAAGTGGAAAAGAAATATCCTTTAAACTGAAAATCAATAAAGCAACACTAGATGGATAAAAACCAAGAAATTTGAGACTCAGGCTATAACTCAGTGGCGGAATGCAAGCAAGACTCTGGACCAACTCCAGACTCTATCCCCCATGCAAATGCTAGCAATTTGCTCTAGAAAATCTGTCCCTAAAGACATGCTACACCATTAGGAACTTGAAACCAAAACAATGAGTTATCACAGCACATACCAGGCACAGATGACAAGTACTGGGGAAAATGTGAGCAAAGGGAATTTTCATCCATTGTTCATGAGAATATAAACATACTGTGACCACCTGGGAAGGCCAGTTGTCATTTTCTTGCAAATTAACCATAAGCTTATCACACAACCCATCAATCACTATCCTTGGTATTGCTCAAATTTGAAAATGTATGTCTACACCTGAAGCATTAACACGAACTCTTTGTAAAAGTTTTATTCATTACAGTCAAAGCTTGAAGGAAAGCAAGAATTTTGTTCAGCAGTTAAATGTACAAAATGGTAAGTTTACACAATAAAATATTACTTAGTAGAAGAAAACTTAATGATCGAGTCATGCAAGAGACACTAAGAACTGATGCATTATTGGTAAGTATGAGAAGACAGTGAAAAGACCACTTACTGTGTAAGTGTAGTGGTATGATATTCTCAACAGGAAATGTTTAGACAGAAAAAGATAATGGTAGATGGAGTCTGGGTACTCAGGACAAGGAAGGGATGAAAAACAGCACGGTAAGACACATGGAATATATTACATGATATATATTTCTGAAAGCGCTGGAACTGTACAGCAAAAAGAATGAGCCCTAATGGAACCATAGACTCCAGTAATAGCGAATAGGTTTTAGGCATCTGTAACAGATACACCACACACCAGTGAGACACATTAACAATAAAAGGAGCCACTCAAAAGGTAAGAGCAGTGATGGGGAATTCTCTACCTTCCCCTCAATTTCTATATAATCCAGAAGCTATTCTAAAACAATGTGTGTTGATTAAAATAATTAAATTCCCAAACAGAAAACCCTAAACACAGACTACATTGGAGATTTCTCTCCAATATTAAAAAATAAAAGTTATTAACACTTGCAGAACACGTAGCAAATAAAAAAAGGAGGTAGCACCCCCTTACTCATTCTATGAAGCCAGGATACCTTTATATAAGTCTTGACCAACATAAGAAAGAAAAATGAGATGTCTATTTCTCTCATCACATAGCTGTACTCCTTTACACTTGTGTCAGTGAATTTGTGCCAACTCCATCTTAGAAAGCCACTGTGAGACAGTATCATTCACAGACTTACAATGAGAAAATGTGTATTATTTATAAAGTAATAACACT